CATTAAAATCAATTAATATACCATCATCAATTAGTAAAATAGGAAGTGATTGTTTTAGTGAATGTTCATCATTAACATCTATTAATATACCATCATCAATTAGTGAATTAGGAAATTATTGTTTTAAAGAATGTAAATCATTAAAATCAATTAACATACCAACATCAGTTAAGACATTAGGATATGGATGTTTTAAAGATTGTAAATCATTAACTAGAATTAATATACCAACAAGTGTTAGTAATATAGGAAATGAATGTTTTAGTGGATGTACATCACTAACAACAATTAATATACCAACAACAGTTAGTAAAATAGGATATGGATGTTTTAATGAATGTTCATCACTAACATCAATTAATATTCCATCATCAGTTAAGACATTAGGAGATGGATGTTTTTGTGGATGTAAATCATTAACATCAATTAATATACCAACAAACATCAGTGAGTTCAGAAAAAATTGTTTTAATATGTGTGTGTCATTAACATCAATTAACATACCAAGTATATTAACATCAATTGGTGCACAATGTTTCATTGATTGTAAATCATTAACAAGATTGGACATATCAACATCAGTTCAAATAATAGGAGAAGAGTGTTTTAGAAGATGTACGTCATTAAAATCAATTAATGTTCCATCATCAATTAGTGTATTAGGAAAAAGTTGTTTTAGTGGATGTTATTCATTAACATCAATTACTATTCCATCATCAATTAGTGTGTTAGGCCCTCACTGTTTAGACGCATGTAAATCGTTAAGTAATATTGAATTACCAACAAGTATTAAAGGAATAGGAGATTGTTGTTTTGTAGCATGTTATAAATTAAAATCAATTAATATACCATCATCAATTAGTAAAATAGGAATTGCTTGTTTTAAAAAGTGTTTTTCATTAACAAAAATTAATATACCAACATCAATTAGTGAATTAGGAAATGAATGTTTTAATGAATGTAAATCATTAAAATCAATTAATATACCAACATCAGTTAAGATATTAGGAGATGGATGTTTTAAAGATTGTCATTCATTAAAATCAATTAATATACCAATAAGTGTTAGTAAAATAGGAAATGAATGTTTTAGTGGATGTTCATCATTAAATTATATCAATATCCCAAGAAAAGTTAGAAGATTAGAAAAGAACTGTTTTAATGGATGTTTATCATTAAGTGATATTGATATTCCAACAACAATAAGTGAAATAGGATATGGATGTTTTTATGGATGTCCAACAGAATTAAAAAAGAATAAAACATTAAAGAAAATGTATTATCGAAAATATTATGATGATGATGATTGTATCATTGTTTAATTGAAAAGATAATTGAATAAATTTAAAGTTTTATAATATGAAAGAAACAAACAAGAAAGAAATAATATTAACAAACAAAAATATAAGAATAATAAAGAGAAAATAATAAGATAAATAGATAATAATAAATGAATAAAGAATAATTATAATAAATTTATAAAGAATAATAATAAAATAATGAAAATATAAATAAAAATAAACTAATTAATGATATTTAAATGTATAATCATAATTTTATTATTTCAATAAATTATAATAATAAAATTAATGATAAATTTAACAATTTAATTAATAATAAGTAATATAATGATATATTTAATTAATAAAATATAATAATAGAAGTATTAACATTATATAAATAATAATAATAATCAAATTATTTGTAATAAATATATTAATGTTATTATATTAATATCATAATATAATTGAAATAATTTTAATAATAAAATAAGAATAAAACAAAGAATAAATAATATAAAAAGAATAAAATTGATATAAATCAACAATAAATAATATAAAATATAATAAATAATAAATATTTAAATAAAATGATGATATAAATTCAAAATATATATTAATTATATCAATAATATAAATATTATTTTGTTTATCATCTTTATTATATAATATTTAATAATATAAATTTAATATCATCTAATATTAATAAATAATATAAATAAGAAGATGAAATTATAAAATGAAAAAGATAATATAAATATTTTATATTTAATTATCTTAATTCATATTTATTATTTTATATAATATTTATTCTTTTAAATATTAATTCAATTTATATTTTTATCAACATTTTATATAATAATAATATCTATAATATAGATGATATAATAATTATACAATAAATCTAATATTTTGTAAAATCAATAATAAATATATCAAATCAACAAATAAATATTAATATAAAATGAATGAATAATAATAAATGAATATATTCAATCTATAATTAATTCATTGTTTTACATAATTACAAAATCTGATGATATTTAATTAACTAAATATTAATAATAATCAATTATTTCTATT